CTGCCCCTTCCCAATCCCAGTTTTTGGGATCAGGGAGTCTCTGCCCCTCCCCAATCCCGGTTTTTGGGATCAGGGAGTCTCTGCCCCTCCCCAATCCCAGTTTTTGGGATCAGGGACTCTCTGCCCCCTCCCCAATCCCAGTTTTTGGTACCTGTATCCGCCGTTCCTGCCTCCGTCTCCGTGGGTTTCTGCTGCTCCTGAGCCGAGAGGAGATCCTGGATCTGCAGGAGTTCAATTAATTAATATATTTATATATTAATTAATACCTTAATTAATTAATAAATATATTTATGGTTCTCTAATATGAGATTGATGTCACGTTGTATATTCTATAATACAGAATGTAACATGTGGCCACATTTTAATAATCATGTTATAAGTATAATATATTATTAATATATTAATATACAGACATAATAATATATCAATAATAATATATTATTAATATATTTATAGTTCCAGATCTAGATCTGGATCTCCTGACCCTTCCCTGGATCCCACCAATCCCTCCTGGATTTCCTGACCCTTCCCTGCTCCTTTCCCACATCCCACCAACCCCTTATCCCGCGGGATTCCCAGCTGGGAGCTGCACTGGCACCCACATTCCAGGCGTGTTCCCGAGCGGGGAAGGGGATCCCAGAGGAGCTTGGGGGGGTTGTTTTCCTCAGGGAAAAGCCCCTGCTCCGTCCTCTTCCTCACATCCCTCCCAGGAGCATCCTGGGATCTGCTGTCAGGACACAGCTCCCCCCAACAAGGGATCCAGGTCAGCTTTCCCTGAATTCCCAAACTTTTTGGGACGTTTCCAGTCCTGCACTGGTGGGGAGGGGGAAACCCACCCCAAAATATCCCTTTGGGGTTTCCTTGGGAAGAGCAGGGATTTGGGAACAGCCTCCAGGGCTCTCCGGCCACCGGGATCCGGCTGATCCCAGAGCTGCAGCTCCAGATTGGGATGTGACTCCCACCCAAGGAGCTTCCTCGGGAAAAGCTGAGGGAGTGAGGAAGGGAAAAGGGGTTTTTTGGGAACCACGGGCTCCAGGGCCCTTCCCAGAGCAGGGATTTCACTGATTCCCGGGATGGGATAATCCAGTTATTCCCACTCGGAGGCTCCCAGTTCCCGCCGAATCCCACCTCCCTCCTCCCGGGACACCCCTGGGAGCCTGGAAAACCCCCGGGAATGGTGGGAACTCACGCTGGCCAAGCTGCTGTCCAGGTCGGGGAGGTTCATGTCCGTAACCGTCATGGAAGGGCTGAACAGCTGCCGAGGGAAAAACGGGGATCAGAGGGAAAACAGGGATCCAGGGATGCTCCCAAGCTCATGGATGAAGCCACCGTGGTCCAGCGTGACCCCACGGAGGGAATCACGGAACATCCCGACGGGAAGGGACCCCCAGGGATCCGAGTCCAACCCCAGGAGCCCCAAAATCCCACCCGTGTCCCTGAGAGCCTTTTCCAAACGCTTTTCCCGGACTTTGGGGGCTCGGGGCTGTGGGTGCTTCCCAGGGGGGGCTGTCCCAGCTCCCAGGAATCCCGGGAATGCCGGGATCCCGGGAATACTCACGTCCAGCAGGGCGCTGTCCATGCTGAAGCCGTGCGTGCTCAGCATGGTCTGCAGGTTGTCCAGGTTGGAGTCGATGGTGTCCAGGTGGTCGTTGAGTTCATTCCTGGCGGGAAGGAAGGGAGGGAGCAGGGAATCAGTGCCCAGGGATCCTTGGATCTGCCCACAGACATCCCAAGGGATTTGAGGTTGGGAATCCTGGATCTGCCCACAGACATCCCAAGGGATTCCAGGCTGGGATCCC